GGGGGGGGGGGTGCACATCAGTAGCATTGGTCCCTAGTGTCAACATCAGGGGTGGGCAAACGATTTGTGCGGAGGGCCACACTGACAAATGGAAAGCTATTTGGGGGGGGGGGGTGGCGCATGTATATTAATGTCCAATTTTTACATGTCGATAAACATTTCTCTATATTAGAATCGGTCAATTTGCATTTACCATTACATGACAAAAGTCAAGGACTGTTTAAAAAATTTAAAAAATAGAACATTAGAAAGTTGATCAAACAAGTGAAAACAATCATAACGGTACTTGAAATTCTGTAAAATTCAACCAAATAACTTAAAGACTAAGTATTTTATTAAATCTCTAAATGCCTTTGAGGGCCGCATAATATCAGTAGCCGGGCCGTATGCAGCCCGCGGGCCGTAGTTTTCCCACCCCTGGTCAACATTAATGAGTAATAACAAAAACACACATGTTATACATTTGAGCACTTGAACAAAAAAAAAAACCAACAACCATCCCCCCCCCCCCCAACCACCACAAACAAAAAAAAACTGGAAAATCCCTTTAACCAGCGGGCCATAGTAATTACATGTTATTTTCTAGTCATTTCAACGACGTGTAGGGGTGGGGGGAGGGTTTGCAGTCTCGTCGTGATATACAGATGTATATACAAATACAGGGAAAGAAGGGAGATAACTAGGGGACATCCCACTAACCATGTCCATGTCATCCCCCCAGTCCCACCCTCACACCTGATGTAAGTCCCACCCTCACACCTGATGTAAGCCCCACCCTCACACCTGATGTAAGTCCCACCCTCACACCTGATGTAAGCCCCACCCTCACACCTGATGTAAGTCCCACCCTCACACCTGATGTAAGTCCCACCCTCACACCTGATGTAAGTCCCACCCTCACACCTGATGTAAGTCCCACCCTCACACCTGATGTAAGTCCCCTTCTTACATCGATTTAAAACATTACAACACGCCAACTCAATCAGCCACCCCACCCCAACCCTCTCTACTCTGCCAAACCACACAAACAAAATGTCCTTGATTTCTCTCCCTTTGTTCGTAAGAGGGAAAAAAAAAAGGGGGGGGGGGGGGGGGGGGACTTTTTTTTTTTTTTTCAAAAAAGAAAGGGGGGGGGGGGGTGTAGAGAACTTCTTTATTTATTTTCAAAAACGAAATTGTACGTAAGGGCAAGTGGAGAAAAGCCTTGATCCAGTTTGAGGAGCAAGGCCGGGGTTGTATAAAGGGGCGAGAAAGGGACCTCTGTTCTTTAGTGCTTAATTGAGATGCTGTAAGAAACACCACCAAACTGGCAAACTCTGAAATCAAACCCGGAGATGGAGTCCCGTGGGCGGTATGACGCAATGAAAATTCCGACGACTCCTGTGACGTCGTGCAGCACATGTAGAGCACAGCGAGATAGACGCACGAAACACTGCCGGTCATCTGCTGCATCCTGGTCTATTTCCCCAAAACAAATTGGCAAGGACGAGAGAGTGAGGCTGGCGAATTGAGCAACTCTCCCTCACTTCAAACAAAATACAGCTCAAGTCAAGGCTGCCACCGTACCGGTTACTCAAGTTGAAGCCACGGCCGCATCTTCGCGCGAGAAGTATCAACTACCGGTGTTATGAGATGCTGACTGCTAAATCATTGGATTGGTGGGGGTGGGGGGGTGGGGGGTTGGTGTCTAAAAAACGCATCATTAATGTTTCGTACGACACTGTCTATGACTTAAAATGCCACCGTCTTAAATGCCACTGTGTCCACCTTGGGATTGCCACTACACCGTTAAACTAACGAATGTCGACGTATCACCTGATGCTGTTCCCTCGCACACCCTGTTTGGTGTATAGCTGAGTGTCGACGCACGGAAATTTATGGACAAAATGTCGTGTTCAAATGTCGTCAGATGCCTGACAGACACCCTTTGTCCTATGTGATTCTTTCTAATTAAAAAAAAAAATTAATAGGAGAAGGGAGACGCCACACGTATTTATATAAGAGACAAAAGTAGACAGACCGGCACTCATTATTGTTGGTTGGTATCTTTCTTTAGTATGATATTGATCACACTTGGGTAGGAACACAAGAAAAATAGTGGAAGAGAACAGCCATGAGCTTTCCAGTACATTAAACAGCTGGGTAGTGCTGTTCCACACATGACGGAAATAATCCCCCTGATTTAAATCATTCAAATGTCAAAACAATGATGACATTTGTTCCCATTACGACCCCCATCTCTATGCACTCTACTCTACTCCACAGCCAAGGCTGACCGTGACGTCATCATCATCCATGGATATAAAAAAAAAAATTTTTTAAACCCGCATCATCTAGGTACTAAAAACTGTGATAGGATTATTACTTGCAGATCGAACGAAAATTTGATCGAATGGAAGTTTGGTCGAATTTTTTTTTTTTTTTTCGGTTGACAGGGTCAAATTTTCGTCCAATTTCTTTTTGAAGGCACTCAGGCCTTCTACACACGTCGAACAATGACCCCAAAAATGGTTGTGGTCATTTTCCATTCGGCTTGGGGAGGACTTCTCTGTTTTGCGTTTTACATCTCACAGTTCTCTAATAATACTCCATCTTAATCCATTATGGGGAAACGTTAAAGAATAAAATAAAATCTTATTTTAGTTATGATAATTTAATGTATATTTTGGTGTGTTTTTTAAGGTTTTACACGGGGGGGGGGG